TCACTCTGTCATCTGCTTCATTTCTTGATGAATTCCTCCCTGCAAGCATAGTGCTCGTCAGTTCTCTGCCGGGTTCTTCCTTCGTGCAGCCCTCTGGCCACTGTGTCATCCTTGTGCTCCAAGCTGCAGTCTCAGCACCTTAGTGAGGTGGCTGGAGCCGCCTCTGCTCTTCTCTCTACACCGCAGTCTCTCTTTAGGCAGTAAACTGTGGCAATCATACGGCGCACCTTGTTTGTTTCTCATCTCTCAGTGGTCACTGTCCTTCGTTTCCTGATGTGTAGGGTCGTGAAAACTGTTGTTTTGTATACTTTGTTCAGTATTTTAGTTTATTCATTTGGGAGTGAAAATCTGGTCTCTTTTACTCTGTATGGGCTGGTGCCTGAAGTCAGTATCACTAGTTGATATAATTTCATGAAAATATGCTTGCACAGTAAGACTAGTCAAAAGGTAAAGTCAGCTGGGCGTAGTGGCTCTTGTCTGTAATTCCAGCACTTTGGGAGACTGAGGTGGGTGGATCACCCAAAGTCAGGAATTTAAGACCAGCCTGGCCAACACTGATGAAACCCTGTTTCTACTAAAAATACAAAAATTAGCTGGGCGTGATGGTGGGTGGCTGTAATCTCAACTTCTTGGGAGGCTGAGGCAGGAGAATCACTTGAACCCAGGAGGCCTTGGTTGCAGTGAGCTGAGATCACGCCATTGCACTCCAGCCTGGGCAACAAGCGTGAAACTGCATCTCAAAAAAAAAAAAAAAAAAAAAAAAGGTGAAAGGTGAAGTCTTTGCTCCAACAGCATCATCTTTAATTCTATCCCTGAAATGGAGCCTCTTTCGTTTTACAATGACTTCGTTTTTGAATGAGTAAAACAATTGGCAATGAGACTATTTGAATTATCCTGTTTTAAAATGATTGTAGGTTTTATTATTTCATACTCTTTGCCACTTTGTCCTCCTCCAACACTGTCTTAGTTAATATTATTTCAAAAGTCTGGTTTAGAGGAAGAGGTTTGAAAACATAGTATAAGAATTTAATCTAAACTTTGTTTGAGTTCGAAAGGAAAAATGTAGGTAATCCTGATACTCAGCAAAGAATGTTTAATCTATGTTTTTTTTTTTGTGTGTGTGTTTTTTAAATAACAAGATGTATGTGTTCTTTCTGGTAATCTTACATTAAAGCCATGGATATTCATGTCAGCTGTTTGTGTAATATGCCAACATATGTAATTTATTGATAGTCACATTAATGATCCCTTCATGTCTCAAGCTTTGTAAACTCTCTCTTAACTGTATTTTGCTGCTTTAGGAAGATGAATAGGCTTGCTAAAAGTAGAAGCTTACTCAGGTGAGCTCAAGAACATAAATTCCATTGACTAATATTGTAGGTAGAGAAACCAGCCCTTTCTTAAATGAGATTTTATTCTGTATGTTAGTTCTTTTTTAGGTATGAATAGAAAAAGATCATTATTCAAGGAATCAGTGCGTAAAATATTTTCAGTTGAATTCTACTCGGGGGAGCCAATGTGTAGCTTGTCATGAAGAATTTTTTTATCGACAGATCATCTAGATAATGTGACCTTATGCTTAGCCATGGCTTAACTTACTAAGCTTCTTGCTAGGAGCCTATTTTACTTACCTTTTAACAAAATGAACTTCCAAATGGGCATTTAAATATTTGACTAAAGCAGTTAAACCACAACATTTGATCATTAGATCTTTCTTATAGTTAGTAGTATTTTAAAATATTTCAAAATTTGCTTTTAAAATACTCTTACCTTTTTACAGAAATGTAAGTTTTAAAGTACTTTACATTTGTCAGATGATTACTAGTAAAGCTTTGTGTAAGTATTGTCACTTTTTCTTAATCGTTGGTGCTTTTAATTTTAAAAGTACATTTTATAATCTAATTACTGCCATGCCAGGAACCTCTCAGGCAGAATTTTAGAGAAGTTTTTTTTTAAGGTTTCTTGTGGTCCAGTCTTTATAGAAAATATTCAGAATTCAAGAACTGTGTGTATTGGTCAAAGTAATCTGTTAGTCAATCTATCGGATTTTAAAAAATATTAAATGCAACACAATGATGTCTTGGAACTAGTTTTTATGGAGTAATATCTGTCTGGTTCTTCAGTGCAGTATAGTAGCAGGCCCCTGGATTCTGTTTATGAAATCAACCTGAAATAGCCTGGAAACCAAACATCTGATGATGGAGACTGTTCTTTGCCTGGATGTTCCATATTAGGTCTTGACTCTGAGTCTCCAGATAACAAGTTGAGTCCACCAGGAAGTTCTAGTGAAAGCACTTTCCTGTTCTTCATAACACACCTTCCATCCTTACCGTGATGATGCATTCAGCTTTCTGACTTCACTCTCATGATTTGGTAGTGTTGTCACACCTAGGACGCAGGCCATGTCCAGGCGTGGTTCAGTTACCTACCACAGACCATAAACCAGTGGTTTCCAAAGTGGAGTTTGTGCATTTCCGTGCATTCACAAAGTAAGTTATTGGACTGTGTAAAGGAAATATTAGAACTTGTATTTATATTTATTGTTAGGATTTCTGAAGTACTTGTTTTGTCTGTATATAAGATGTCAGTTGGATACTGTATTTGTAGCTTATAGATAATTCAGTACACATATATTGCATATAGATGCTCAAATTTTGTTTTTACTAATGGTAGTACATGATCAAAAAAATTTCAAGAGCAGGTAAGACTCGGATAGAACATCTGGGCAAGAGTTTGTTTCTGGGATTTCCCATTTCCTCCATCATTGAGCTTCATGCTGTGTAAAATTTTGGGTGTCTGTGTCTGTGGGTTTTTTTTGGTGTGAAGATTCATAGCTCTCACCAGATTTTCAAAGGAGTCTTTGGCTCTAACGATACAATTACTTATCTGGGATCTCTGGGCTGAAGCCACTGAAGCTTGTTTTGGTGGGACTACATCTTGTTTGCAGATCGCTTCCTAGGCTAAATGAGATGGTACTTTATTATAATTATAATTAGATATGTATTCCTTTTAACAAATTAAAGTTTTATTAATGTGAATAGCTGAGAAACTGCTGCCATCATCATCATAACCATGCGTGACCAATGCTGTGTACTCTTCTAGCGTCTGGGTTTTTATCTCTTTAAAAAAGCCATTTTATTAGATGTTTTCATTAATCATCTACCTTTAAAAAATATTTTAGTTGGCCGGGCGTGGTGGCTCACGCCTGTAATCCCAGTACTTTGGGAGGCCGAGGCAGGTGGATCACGAGGTCAAGAGATCGAGACCATCCTGGTCACCATGGTGAAACCCCATCTCTACTAAAAATACAAAAAATTAGCTGAACATAGTGGCGTGTGCCTGTAATCCCAGCTACTCAGGAGGCTGAGGCAGGAGAATTGCCTGAACCCAGGAGGCGGAGAGGTTGTGGTGAGCCGAGATCGCGCCATTGCACTCCAGCCTGGGTAACAAGAGCGAAACTCCGTCTCAAAAAAAAAAAAAAAAAAAAAGAAAAAAAAATATTTTGGTATATTATTGTCTTTCAGTTTCATCATTTGTCCTGGGTAGAAGTGACTATGGAAGAGCTACTTTTGAGATCTCCTGTTTTTATGACAATGTTTATATTTGTTTTTTTTATTATCTCTCTAAGCTGCTTTTGTAGAGGCTACCTGTAGTAGATGATGGCATTGCACTGGAGTGAGGTCGAGAGTTCAGTTCATAGGTCAACTGATAATGTAAACTGAGTACAGTCAAAGTTATTCTTGAAATCACACATAAAATCCTTAAATCACCCTTAAAATATGAGGTACATAATTTTGCATCTATAATCCTATAGACGATTGTTATTATTTCTTCTAATTCTTTGCAGTTTAAATTTTATATGGCCCCTAAGTAGCTCTCTCCTTTCTTTCTTGAACAATGTTGACATTCCCTTTATCTCTCACTTGACTGACACCTGAATGATGTGATTTATTTATCTATATGTGGTCAGAAAAATCTCACCATTGATGTATTTTTTCCAGTAAATATTTTTATATTATAAATATCTTATATTTATATAAATATTTATAAATTTTTTTAACTGGACCTGGCCATGTATTCATTTAATAGAATGCCTAACCTATATTTAAGTAAAAAGTCTTTAAAAAAATGTGTATAGGTGAATTTAAGTAACTTCAGTGCATATATTGTATCATTCTACTGTATTTCCTGCTTTGCCCTTTTACTCTAGAAGCCTATAAGTATTAAACTCAGATTAACAATTTTTTATGGAAGGAAATTATTTATTCATTTATATAATACTAAGTATTAATATATAATACTAATATTAAGTGTGTATAAGACATTATTTTAGGCACTGGGATTATAGCGGTGAGACAAACTTCCTATTCTTACAGAGCCTACATTCTAGTGGGGAAAACTGAAAAAAAAAAAAAATTCAGGTTATGTGTGCTATGAAGAGTCATAATTAGTATAGAAGGCCATAGAAGGTCCAGCTGTTTTAGGTAGGGGAGTCAGTTTCCTCTCCAAGGAGATGGCATTTGCACAGAGACCCAAATGAAGAGAAGGATGGGCATTTCCTCCGGAGGGCGGCAGCAGAGGAGGGTCGGATGTCCTCAGGCATCTTTTTCATTATGACCCTTGCTTCCTGTGACCAGTTACTGCCATCCTGTCTCAATGGCTTATGCAGTCAGCCATCCTCCCCATGGACGCAGCACAAGAGCTTGATGTTTAACGTAAGCACGAGTTCCATCGAATATGCAAAGGGCATTCATCATTCTGACCTCATTACTCATCACTTGCAAGTGACTGTGGTGTATATATGAAGTAGGTTAGGGCTGGCTTGACGTTGTCCCAATAGGTAATAATTACATATTTTAAACTAGGATTTATTCATTAGATCACCTCACATAACGGAAGTGAGAATGTGCATAGAATTTGATCGAACTTGTGCTTACTTGTAACACACTAAATATGTCTTACCTGATTTCATTAAGGGGTATTTTATTTATTTTTTACAGGAATCACTAGATTTGATCTACTTGGAGACTTTGGAAGGTTTAATTGGCTGGGAAATTTCTATATTGTGTTATCCTACAATTTGCTTTTTGCTATTGTGACAACATTGTGTCTGGTCCGAAAATTCACCTCTGCAGTTCGAGAAGAACTTTTCAAGGCCCTAGGTAATCCTGAGGTTCATGGGTATTTTTTCCCCTTTCTACTAAATAATAATTTTGACATTTGAGTTAATATTACATCTTCAGCAATTTAGTTTCCCAAATTTGTAAAACCTTGGAGGTCAGATTATTGATCCATTACTTGCTATGATTTTGTGCAAAATTACTTCAGTAAGCCTTAGCTTCCTTATCTGTAATATAGTGATAACATTGTCTTCCTTTTAGGATTTTTGTGGAGATCAACTGAAATAATTCTTGTAAGGTACTTACCATAGTGCCTGGCAAATCGTAAGAACTCAGTAAATCTTAGCCCCTTTATTATGACGGTGGTGGTCATGGTGGTGGTGAGGTTGATGTGGCTTAGTTTTTGCTAACAATACCTTTTAGTTAAAGCTTTTTTTGAGGCTTTGGATTTTACAGGTCTTTGGCTGACCCATAATTCTGTTCAGTAAGCCAAATAATAATTCAAGATGAAAATGTTAGCATTCTTGGCATTGATATAATAGAAGAGAAGAGTTTTACTATTGTGTGTTCCACAAGTCACCCATATTGTAATGGTGTTTAAAACTCTAATAGGTTTATTAAAGGGTACAAATGTAACCCATGAATGTATTTTTTATGCTGATTTCCACATTAGTGCTAAACATATTTCAAGTTTTATACTTTAAGAATATCAGGACAATAAATTATCTTGGTTTGGGGGTGTGTGATTTTATGACAAAAGAAGGGAAAAGCAGTGACTTTTGTAGAAAAGTTTTTAAAAACCCTGACATTAGCACATTTACCTGAGTTGACATCATTTGAATGCTTGACTCCATATTGGGGCTTTTAGCTATTACAAAAGGCCACATATTGATGGATTCATTAAGGTCCAGTTTTCAAATAACTGAAAATATATGAGCAACAATAAAGCTTTTCACACCACCAGGCCTTTCCAGCCTTGATATTTGAGCGGGTGACCTTTGGGAGGCAGAAAGGATTTCGGATGAGCTCTCCATGTGCGTTTTACTTTGAATATGCCTGGGACAGGGTGGCTCATGAAACACCGGTCTGACAGGAAAAAGCCACCGCTTGTTTCAGCTGACGCACCAGATAATTTATACAGTTTAATGCTTAGGCTTAATAAAACTGGTCCAACTTGAAGTGGAAATCAAACAGTCCTTTCTGTCAGATGCCTATCATTAAAACTTAATTTTTAAGCCTGTTACAGTATCAGCGAGATTAGTCAGCCGTGGTCTTAGATAAATTTCCAGTTTCCATTCACTAAGTGAGATGGTTGCAAATTAACTGCCTTAAGTTTAGCTTTTGAATTAGGTGTTCTGTACATCATTTTGCTAAGAAAGCCTTTATTACAGTAATGAAATATAACTTGATATAAAAGGCCTTATATGTATGTCAGTTCATTGACCATAGGAGACAGTAGAATTAGCAAGGTTGTATAAAACTACCTAATAGATTTACTTTTCTTCCCAAATGTTTTTCAGTATTCTTTGGGACAATTTATATGTAGAAAAAGAGTCTTATTAAGTATATGTAATGTTTGAATGACCTAAGATCCTACGAAGGATTTCACTGATTGTAAAGTAACTATCCCCTTTCTTTTCTTATCTTTTTTTTTGGTAGTTTTTTCCCCTTCTGCTGCTGTGCCCATTAATAATAATAGTATCTGTCTCAGAGATTAACTAACACATAGTAAATACTAGCAATTTGCCTGTGGTGATGGTGGTGATGATGGAGTTGTTTCTGGAGTTGTCTGTAGAAGAAAGACATCGGAGTTTTCCAGAATGCGTAATATATGCGACCCTCAAGTTTGAGATGTGAACTCTGTCCTAAAAGGGTGACTTCATTTCAGCTCCGTCAGTGAATACCTCCTGGATCCTCTGTCTTCACCCAGTCCCTTTTCTAACAAGCTTCGTTTTAGCACACTTCCTCAACTTCAACAGCTGTGGGTTCTTATTGTCATTCCTGGAACCACAACCATTTTTTGTGTTGGATTGATTTCTTTTTTTTCTTCCTATTCAAACATAGAGAGGTTCAATTTTTACCTTTTCTTTCATTAAGATATGCAAGTGAAATTTTAAAATTTGGAGTGCTGTGTTGGTTTATGAGTGATGTAAAACTGTCTAACAGGTCAATTGCCATGTGAAATTTTAGGGAGAAAAATCTTTTCCAGGTAAGTTGTTGAGATGCCAAAAAGGTCTGTGCTTCATGAAAAGTATTTTCTCAGAATCTGCCCTGGCGAAGTGCAGGACACAACATGATCATTTGGTCAGTAACAGACCACTTGCCTATAGGACAGTGGCCCCAGAAGATTATAATGGAGCTGAACAACTTCTGTCCCCTAGTGACCTGCTGGCTGTTGTAATGACATGGCACAATGTAACCTTTTCTAGGTTTAGATATTTTTAGATGCACAAATATTTACCATTGTGCCACAGTTGCCTACGGAATGCAGCACGGTAGCACGCTGTCTGGTTTGTGACTTAGGAGCAATCGGCCATGCCACACAGCCAGGCATGCCGTGGGCTGTGCCATCAGGGTGTGTGCAGGTGCTCTCTATGATGGTACACAATGACAAAATTGTCCGATGGCCCATTTCTCAGAATGTATTCCTGTTGTTCGGCAACACCTGACCATGTTCCTGTCTGTCATTGTATTTCATTTTTATTAAGGTGCTTGAAGCTCCAGTGCCATACAGCTCTTACATTTTCTTCTGCCGTTTCTCCCTGTGAGAGTGCAGTGTTGGTCTGTATATCACGTATATTATGTAAATAATTGTTATATGATAGAGCGAGAGATCAATGTAACTTTAAAAGATAGTGATAATTTTTTATTCTGTGAAATTCCTTTGAGTAGTGAGATATTATTTATGTTTCATTTATTCTTCTGTCATTTCTTTCTTTTTTGGTAATGTTGTCCATTCTTTTTTTTAATTACGTATGAATATTTTGGTGTGGCTTTCCCTACATTTTCCTGCATGTGTGTGTGTGTGTGATTTTACTTTATTTAAATTTTTTTGAGACAGGATCTCATTCTGTCACCCAGGCTGGAGTGCAGTGGTGTGATCATGGCTCACTGCAGTCACAACCTGCTGGGCTCAAGCGATTCTCCCACCTTGGCCTCCCAATGTGCTGGGATTATAGGCACGATCCCACTGTGACCAGCTAATTTTTCTGTTTTTCGTGAAGATGGAGTTTCACTGTGTTGCCCAGGCCTGTCTCAAACCCCTCAGCTTCAAATGATCCTTCCACCTTGGCCTCCTAAAGTGCTGGGATTACAGGTGTGAGCCACCCCACCCAGCCTGTGTGTATGTATTTAAAAATGAAAGTGGGAACGGATCTGTCTTGGGTTGGGTTCCCAGAGAAGCACACTTTAGCTGGGAATACACTTGCCAGGAAGAGGTTTGTTAGCCGACTTAGGGAAAGGAAAGAGGAAGGGGCTGTGCAAAGAGAGAGCTGAGCTCCGAGGCGGTCACACTAGAAACCTCCGCTGGCCCTGGGGACGCTGTGGCTACATTGACCCTTCAGAGCTCCAGTCAACAGAGAAGAAGGGGGCAGGCTTTTATGACTCTCGTGTGCTATCCTGGAAGGGGCAGGACTTCCGGCCCTGCAGCCGTCTTTGGCTTAGGCCATCCCCAAAGGGAGGTTGCCAGTAGGAGAGAATAAATCTTTCATTCCTCAAGGGGGGTCTGGTCAGCACCTCAAAGCTTCCCAAATCCGACTTAGCTTTGCCAGTCTCCTCTGCCTCCTGCCCTAACCCTTCCCCAGCTGCTCTGCAATCTATCGTTTCTCACCGTTTTCTTAATTTTTTGCAGGGCTTCATAAACTTCACTTATCAAATACTTCAAGGGACTCAGAAACAGCCAAGCCTTCTGTAAATGGGCATCAGAAAGCACTGTGAGACGCACAGCCGGCGTCTTCTGCAACTGAGAGACTCGAGAGCTCCAGACTCGTGACATCCCTGTCCCGTGCGGAAGCATTTCCACTCCCACCTTGACTCCTCTTCAGAACCTAGACCTATCGGTGCCATTTTTTTTTTTTCATAATCTACGAAGAACTTGGCCATGGCTGGTCTTTTTTAAATTTCCCTTTCTGATAGACCCTGTAGTTTTCAGTTAAACACGGATTCCTTAGACATACAGACAGCACATTCTTGTGTAGACATTTACTCATATTGGTAAATACAGTCATCCCTGTGAAAACACCGTTTTCACCTGATATGACATTGTTAGAAAAGGCAAACTCTGGGACTTTCTAAAGATTTCCTTAAATCCCATCATATATTTTATTCAGAAGGTAGACGCCTACCTGAAATGTATCCTTGGTACTAAGTGAAGGCTGTTCAGAAAATGCATTTTTCAAATGCGATAGGAACTGCTTGTAGATATCATGATTGCAGTGTGTGTGTTGGAATGGTAATGGTGGCAATTATGTTTTTTATTTCCTTAAAAGCAAAAGGCATAATTTCTGATTTCTGTTACAGAACGATATTGATTAGACTTTGAGCCAAGGGGAAAATACGAAATTCTTTTAAACCTGGAGCCTTAGAGAGCCACAGGACTATCTTCTGTTGTACAGTCTAATAAGCTATGGTAGGGAGTATCATGTAATCATAGTTGAATGACAGTTTATGTATATAATTCAGTATTACCTCTGATAACATAGTTGCCAGTGTTTAATACACTTGTAACTTGCATTTTTGCCTTATAGGCTCTATGTATACTCAGTTTTTTAAAGCATTTTTTTCAAAGATCACTTGATTCCCCATGCTTCTGTAATGCTTATGGAAATTACAAATGCCAAGTGCTAGAAACACCTTCTCTCCTCATAGTCCTCAGGCTTGGTTACTTTTGCATACGCCTTTTGAAGCCTCCAAGTTTTTGCAGTTAACATCCAAAGTTCACAGCATCAGCATTCATGGTGGAAGAATAGTTTTGCCATATAACATGATCAATCAGTTATTAAATTGTAAATAATTTTTGGGATGGTTTCTTGGCTTATGTCTACTGAATAAAAACTATGAACTTACACTCTGTGTTAACCATCCACTAGGATAGAATACCGAAAACTCTGCATGCAAAATAGAAGATGGGCCCATTTGCACACAATTCATAGTTACGCAATCTATAGAAATATGTTCACATGCACTATGTGTATGAAATAGATTGTCTGTGTTCAGACAAAAGGAAAACTTTTTTTCAAATTGTTAAATGTAAAGGTTTTCTGGGAGAAATTTTTGAAAAACAAGCTGTCTATTTGACATCAGAAATTTCCACTTAAACCAAAATAAGAAACTTAAATCTGTATATTTATAAACTTCATTGAGTACACACACTCCCCCTCATTTATCCCTCTGCATTTCCTTCCGAGCTTCACATCTATCTAAAATGCAGCTTGGTTTTAAAACAAAAGAACGTTCATTTTGTGATTCTAAACAATGTTCAGTAAATACCACCAGTAGAGTACTGGTGAATTTCTCAGCATAATATCGACATACCTAGAAAGTTAATAAAATTCAGCTCTTTTCCAATTTCATTGATAATTCTGCCTATTGGAGCATTAATTGCAGGGTCTAATTTTTAGTGAAACTTGGAATCCATACTTTGAGCAGACCAAGTCAAGGGAAGAACAGAAAGGAACTCAGGAGTAGAGTAATATCACTTTTAACTACCCACCGTCAGGGCACGTCCAAAGAGCTCCTAGATACTTGTAAAATGTCTGAAAATTTTTAAGTGAAATATTAAACTTTTCAATGTCTGTTGCAACTATTTGTTCATTTGGAAGTTTCTTTCCATCTGAGGACCTAAGCCAGTCTGGCGTTTGTAAGCCTAGTGCAAGTGAATCACCAAGTTTTACACTTACTGGACGCGTCCTCACTGCTGTGGAAGCAAAGGACGCACATCAGGGGTGGAAGGGCAGTTTTTAACCTGGGGACTCAGAGGCCTTTTAGAACACGTACAGACTGTCACAGACGCGGACTGCCCTGGAATCACAGCTCCTCGAGGCGCTCCTAGTCACATGCCCAGGCATCTGCCTCTTGAGAGATTCACTCCAAATGCAGGTGCTTCCAGTGGGCCTAGGTTGGAGGCTGCTCTATATGACAGACTCCAGAAATGGACGGCAGGATACGGAGGTCAAACACTCTGCGTCCTGGGAAGGATAGTCACCCTGGGGTCTTCATTCTCCTACGGTTCCTGTGCACCAGTGAAAGGAAGTAGATAGACCCTGGAAGGCCAGAGCTCCAAATGCTCAGAATCAGATTCACTCTGGAACTATACTTTTGTTTCTAACCAGTGACTGCATTAAATCAGGCAGTCCTTTTATTCTCTTTCCTTTAGTCTCTTAAAGGGCATTAGGCACTATGGTCCCCGAGTTGCTTGGGGAAACTTAGCAGATTATTATTGATTGGTTCTACAATACTTAAATAAATTATTTTACAATGATAAGTTTTCTGATTATAACATTTGTATTAATTTTTACTGATTTTCCAAGATACTTCTTAGATTTACTATTTATGTAGCTTTGTGTACATTCTCTGTAAACATAGACCTCTAAGACACTTCACGTGAAAATTGTACACACTCATCATACACTAATGTTAGCTCCTTAAATTGCCACACTCAGGTGCTGCTGCGTGGAGACGGATGGAGCCTCTGGCATTTTGGTCTCAGGCGCATTAAAGGCACGCGTGTGCCTGTTCTGGGCGGCAGCGTGGCCTCCCCACACTCTGCTGGTTGCCTGTGGCCCTCTCTGCAACCTCAGTGATGCCCTCATCTGCCAGGGACACAGGTTTTCATCGTTGGTAGGCCCTTACCTGCTTGTTTTGTGGGTAGCACATTATTTAATGCATAAAGGTAGAATTCTTACAAGCTTGTTTAAAAAATGTGAACATGGATACAGCACTGACTTTTTAAACTTGAAAAAACTGGTATAATGTTAATTTTTTTAAATAACATTTGGACATACTAGTTATTTTTGTTTACAGATTGTCTTGTTTACGAATTGTTAGTCTTTGCTTCTATGAGAACTTTCAGTGTGACTTTTAAAATGTCTTAGAAATTAAAGTTTTACAAAAAGTGATTTCCTATTTGGTTTACAAGCATGTCTATGTGGGGTTTGTGGTTTTGTTTTTTCCATCTTAAATGCCGTCATGGCTAAAACTGAAGGGTATTTATAGGCTACTTCCACTTCAGTTTTATAGAGGGCAGCAATTATTCTGATGAATGCTGAATTAAGGAAGAAATGGATATTTTCTTTCTCTGTTGTGGAGTTATTGGTAGATCAATTTCTTATAACCCAAAATGTAGTATCAGTAATTGACAGCATGTATTTTATTTAATTATTTGAATTATTTAGGCTTGTTTGATTTCTCTAATTTTTTTCCATAAAAGGACTGAGCAGCACTACTTCTGGTTTGGGCAGCTTCACCCAGAGTTCTTGGAGGAGTAAATGCTGTTAGCACCTGGTTAATTCACCGGCAGGTAGAAGCATATGCACCAGTGGCTTTCAACTTTTTGACCACAGTAAGAAGTAACCCATTACACACACACACACACACACACACACACACACACACTCACACACACATACGTTCTCTCCCTCTGTCTCTCTCAGATACATATAAGCAAAAATTTAACAAGACAGTACCCGTTTTTCCTATGTGTGCATGCTGGCATCTTCTGTTTTATTGTTATTTTTAAAAATAGTAGACACAGACCACTAAGTTATTTTCTGACCTCCTCATAGATGGTGAACCTCAGTTTGAAAAGCATACCTTTGGAATGTGGTTTGAAAGAAGAAATAATACAAAGACCTTTTTGGAGTATTTTTTTTTTGGCTTTTGAATATTGTTTAGGTAAAAATTATTGCTATAAATGTCACTGATGCAAAAGTACTGTGTATGCAAATTACTTGTTGTAGTGTAGAAAATGTAGTATCAGTAGAAGTTCCTAAAATTCACAAATACAGGTTAAAAAATTTCCAGACTTGTGACTGATCCATATGTCTTGAAGGAGTATTAGGCAATAAACTTACCTTTTCAAAGAGAAGTTATTTAACTTCCAATTCTATGTTCTTTATTTAGGAACAGTTTTTTTCAAGGGTAAATATAATCAAATAGAAACTTCAGACAAAACCTCATTATTCTCAGATATGACTTTGGTGTTCTGCTGTAACTTCTAAAGGTGCTGCAGAAGTCAAGTTCATGGGCATAGATTGTGAACCGCAGGGTGGCCCCGTGTGAGTGGCTGTGGAGGACGGAGTGATGTAGAAGAATCTGAGTGTCTGAGTGTGAGGAGCGGGGAGTCAGGTGGGCTCTGAATCTGTGAACGGAAGTTTGATCAGTTACTGGAACCATTTTATGGCTGTCGTCATGTCTTCTCCTTTCCTTTGAAAAGCTGTTAGGAAATGAGGGAGTGCGCCTGCAAACCCTGACTCTTGAGAGCCAAGTGTAGGTGATGCTGCCGCAGCTGTTGATGCTGACTGCAGCTTTTCTTCACAGCATCTTGAAGTCGTCGCAGTGGTTCTGCGTGGACTCCACAGTGGAGTTAGAGGATGAAACGGCAAGTGGATGTTGTCTTCCTGCTCCGCGTTCACTTCCTTCCGTCTCAAGAGTGATTCACTTTTTCTTTTCTTTCTGTCTTGACTGTGGGATCTCATCAAAGACTTCGAAGTGGGCGTGGTGAGAGGGGCCTGGGGGGTGGGGTGGGGGCAAGTGCCCTGTCCTCCCACAGTCGCCCTCAGGACCGCCCCGTGAAGTGGAAAATACACACCTGCATTTGACAGATCAGGAGCGCCACACGGAAAGCTGCAGACGTTTGCAGGCAATGGTGGGCAGACGAACTGGCCAGGACAATCACAGTCCCAGTTTTTTTAGGTTTTAAACCTTTGTTTTAGGGTTTCAGTTTCTTTTTCATTCATGTACCTTACGATTGTATTACTTGGTTTATAAAGATTCGTGACAGGTGCACTCATTCTAGATTATAACCTTTGTTGTTAACAATGCCTCCAGTCCCACCCTTCTGTAAGAATTCTGTCTGGACTTAGGTACTGATCTAATGATTTTCCTCAACACCGTATGCTGGGCTCTGATTCAGTGGATTTAAAGGCATAAAGGGATGTGTGAGAAGGCTTGAAAAGTGGCTGCATCTTGCAAGGTGACAGACAGGTGGGTTCCAGCCTGTTAAGGGAGGAATGGCCGCATTCCACAGGGACTGCTGTAGCTGGCGGGGAAGCCGCAGTGAGAGCTGCAGGCCAGCCTCCCTGCCTCCAAGTCCGCCCATGAATTCATGCTTCTGAAGGCCCCTCTCTTTCTTGGTCAGTGCCCCCATTTCCATAAAAGAGACCTGACGAGGCTGTGGTGTGATTGTATAAAAGCTTGCATTGCTTCATGACTGGACCTGACAATGTGTCATTATCTCCAAATTGTTCAGAGAAGCAGCTGCTTCATTCAGGTCCTTTTTATCATTCTGGGGTTGCAACTTGATGTCCTGAGCCTGCGATGGGCATGCCATTCCATGGCCACTTTTTGGTAAGAAAATTACCTGATTTTCTGTTAACTGCCACAAGATGCTCCATACCACCTCTCAGTACTTACGGGGTTTTCACGGCTCTCATCCTCGTGATGACCATTCCTGCCTCATCCCGCCGATTTTCCTGAGTATCTGTTGCCTGCAACTAACACTAATTCCTGCATCAGCAAAATACTGCACTTGGTTGCAAAGAATAGAAGTGGACTCTGCCATCATAAACAGGAAAGGCGTTTACGGGAGTGTGTGGGACGGCTCACAGATGCGGAGAAAGCCCGGGGAGAGGTGCTGGGCACAGCCCTAGGCACGACCTTTCCTGGGCTCTTCCCAGCACTCAGTGATCCACGTGGGACTGTCTGTCCAGATTGGGGTAGCAGAACTGGACTGCCCGGCCTCTGACACCTGCCGTGCTCTGCCTGTCACAGTATGGGGAGAGAAATGTAAGCTTGTGGAAAATTGAGGTTCTGTGATTCAATTTCCCTCTGCTATCTTATGATAAAAGTGCTCACTCATTGTTTAAAGCATTCTCCAAACTAGTCTCCAAAATTTGCGATGGTATACATCATTAAAAAATGTTAGAGCGACCAGTCGGTGCTGCACCCCACCCCGCAGCCGCGGCCGCCTACAGACTGCTGCTGACCGGCACAGCGAGAGCGCGTGGACCTGGAGAACCGCCTCAGCGGCTGGTACGCCGCCGACCTGAGCCTGGCAGACCACGAGGAGGCGAAGCGTGGTGGGCAGGCGCGGCGAGATGCTGGCTGTGAGTTTGACATCTGCTTCACCTCAGTGTGGAAGAGAGCGATCCGGACCCTCTGGACAGTGCTAGATGCCATTGATCAGATGTGGCTGCCAGTAGTGAGGACTTGGCACCTCAATGAGCGGCACTGTGGGGGTCTGACCGGTCTCTGTAAAGCATGGTGAGGCCCAGGGGAAGATATGGAGGCGCTCCTGTGATGTCCCGCCACCTCCGATGGAGCCCCACCATCCTTTCTACAGCAGCATCAGTAAGGATTGCAGGTATGCGGACCTCACGGAAGATCAGCCACCCTCCTGTGAGAGTCTGAAGGACACCACTGCTGGAGCTCTGCCCTTCTGGAATGAAGCAGTGGTTCCCCAGATCAAGGAGGGGAAACGGGTACTGACTGCAGCCCATGGCAACAGCCTCCGGGGCATTGTCAAGCATCCGGAGGGTCTCTCTGAAGAGGCTGTCATGGAGCCGAACCTGCCAACCGGTATTCCCATTGTCTATGAATTGGACAAGAATTTGAAACCCATCAAGCCCATGCAGTTCCTGGGGGATGAAGAGACCGTGCCTAAAGCCATGGAAGCTGTGGCTGCCCAGGGGGAGGCCAAGAAGTGAAGGCCAGCGGGCAGGCTGCTGTCCCCAGGAGCACCCTCCCTGCCTGCTGCGTCCCTCTACCCCTCCCTCCTGCGCGTGTCACACTGACCTCATCTGTAGGCATCTTGAGTTGTAGCTTGCAGATGGGGACTGGTGGCTCCCATTTTCATTTTAGCCGTTTTGCCACCGGCACCCACTCCCTTCATACATTCTAGTCAGAATTGCACTTCCAGGGCACAGGATCTCAGTCCAAGCTGGAGAAAGGCTCCCCTTATCCAACAGAGTTGAAAGGTAGTGACGGGCTTTTCCAAGTGCTTTGTTTACTAAGGACTTGAAGGGAGGCACATGCTAAGCCGTGACCAATGAAGAGAAGCAAGAGAGCCTGTCTGCCCCCGGGAGTCAGTCGGCTGCTCGTTGGCAGTCAGGCCACTGCCTGGGGGCTCTGGTCATTCCAGTGGCAGATGAATGTAACCTGCATGGTGATGTGACGACTGTTTCCTCCCTGACCCCAGAGAAGCTGGCTCTAGAAGGCTGGGATGAATTCTGAATTTAGTTTAGGGGTTACATTTACTTTTATATAAAAAATGTATAGTATATATAAATAATACAAAACAATAACCCTTGTGGGGTTTCTTGTGGCGGCTGAAATAGTATCACATATGGTCACCAGAATATAAACCATTCCTCATACCAACGTGGGATCAGCTCCTTGACCTCTGAGGGGCAGGAGTGCTTCCTGCTGCGTTTCCGAGCCCCTCCCCACCTTGTTTTGTGGCAGTGAAATGCCTCTTGGTCCCGTCCAAGCGTCGCACTGATTTCTGAGTCACGTTCTAGTTGCTTGGCCCTGCCGCATGGCTCCAGTGTTCCTCTGAGCATGACTACTGAACCCTTCTCCCAGATGAGTATAATAAAGCAGCGATGTGCAATAAAAGTTAGAGCACATCCCAATATATGCAGATTCACTCATAAATTGTACGTTCCTATGTAGTTATATGTGTAAGTCACAAAACGTATCAGAGTACTTTTTCTAAGTGATGAGATGATGGAAATTGTCCTGTTTCTTCACCCAGTAGATGGCGGGTTCGGAGCCTGTGCCGCATGCACACCTGGCTGGCTTTTTCCCCTTGGGCTCAGCCTGCTGTTTCCTTGCCCCTCGTAGTTAACTGTGGCTGGAGCGCTGAGCGCCACTTCCAACAATGGCCTGGAAAATCCTCCTCCTCCTCCTCCTCCACCAGCAGTGAGAGGATTCACTAGGGGACTCTGGGGCAAAGGAGCCTTCATGCCACAAGACAAAAGGAGCCACGGTCACCGTGGCAGACCCTCAGCTTCACCCCACGGCTGACATGGGGCGGACACCTCAGAAACCACGTTGGTCTTCGGCAAGCCACTGAGATTTGGGGCTTTATCAGTTACTCGGCTAGGGGCAACCTAACTGATGAGACTGTCATTGTTTACTGCAAATAACCACGCTCCCAGTAGTCGTAAACCAGTGACGGAAACAATTCTTAGCCAGAAAGTTTCACTTTTTTTAGATGTATGAACTGAAAGTCTTTATTACTTTAAGACATTAAAATTTCTGATTTTTGACGTTGAATGCCACTGAATATTTTATTTTTATATTTTACTACACAAATACGGCAATTATTACAAAACAAATATTAGGAATGACAGGCTTTAAGATCCTTAAAATATTAATGGAAACATCTGGAACTTAAGCAGCGTTTTTAGTTCACTAGCTTCTCAGACACTAGTTATATCTTAACCTCCATTTTTAAAAGCAAGCCCATTTTTGCGCCATTCATTTATTTCAAGTGACTAAACTCATGAATTTGAAATTTACTTTTTAGAGACAAAAGACTAAAATTAGATGGGCTGTCAGCTTTTAAAATATACTTAGATTTCCTGCAACTCCCAATGGCTTACTTCTCTGGGGAACAGATGACATTGTAGAACTTCAGACAGAACCGTGCAGTTCAGCCACAATTGCGGTAAACTCTTGTCCCCAGCATTCTCTTGCTCTCCCTGAATATGAATTCAACATTCAAGAATTTTCTTCTGGTAGCAGGAGCGGCAGAGAGGACAGGCATGGAAAGGGGGCCCGTCTCCCACGGAGAACTCCTCCAGCGCGAGCAGACAGGCGTGGTGGAACACGTGTGAGCAGGACAGGAGGGCTGTCTGTCGGGAACGCTGGCCTGTGCCCCCGCGCTGACTGCCGCCAGGGGACAGAGGGGCCAGGCAGATGGAGCAGTCACGGGCCTCCCGGCGCAGAGCCTGCAGCACACGGGACAAGAGGCGGCCACACAGGTTAGTTTAGCACTAAGTGTAGCAGAAAGTTACTCAAACGGAAATGAGAACCGTGTGTCCCAAGACGTGTGTCTTCTAAGCATGCAAAAGTTTGATTCTGTGTTAATCACATGAATTTTAGATCACACTCTGTTACTCCCGGGAGACCTGGAGTGAGATAGATAGCAACCCACCTATGATAACGCAATTTTGAAACAAAAATATTTCCTAAAATGCTGAACATTGATAATACATAGTTCCTTTTAATTAAGTAATCAAGAGGACTGTTTTTCAAAACACTTGACTAGCTACCGAACTTTTCCAAATTTCCTAATTTTATGACTTTTAAAGTAAGCTTTCCCCACCTTGGCCTTTGAGTCATCTCAAGGTCGTTTTCGGCTGGAACTTTCCGGAAACCTCTGGGAAGGCGATCTGTTCCCTTCAGTGTTTTCACCATTCACAAAATAGCCTCATCCAACAAGAACTTCCAGAATTTCAAACCAAAGGCACCTTGGCCATCACCCTAAAGCCCCTGATGAAGGTCCTGCCACAGGTGCAGGGGCAGCCAGGGCAGAGGCTTCCCCGGGCCTGACACTCTTGGGCTCCCCAAAATGAGTCCTCGCCCTCCGCTGCCATGCGGCTCCCCACCGACTCGGGGGCTGCCCGCCCGAGCCTACCTGTTCTTGGATTTTTCCCCATTCCTCTTCTGTGATCTCATGGCTACATTTTTCTTCCAACTGCTGGAGAACACTTCGATTTACCGCCAAGCAGTGATCGATTTCTGCAAAGAGCTCTTCGATGTTGGTGTTGTATGAGCACAGGATGCGGTGACTGATTTCTGTGAACTGAGGGCAGAGGGAGAGGAGTGAGCTCGCACCCAAGCTTGGCGTTCGGTGTAGGCTGCCGGGAAGCGCTCTCGGGCCTGACCATGCGTTTTGCTAACCTTCCTCACCTGTGTCTTTGAATACTACTTTTTAAGGAAATAGACATGTTGTTATTTTACTTCACTGTAAATCCAGATCATCTGTCTGGACAGATTACTGCAAGAACCCCGATCTGACGGAGTTTGGAATGCACTGCCCCAAAATGAGGCACCTTGGCGCACTGAGTCTTTTAAGGAAAAAACATTCCTTCCCGAAGGGATTTGAGAAATGACAGCTGCAGGAGGGACCTCTCTCCCGTCCCCGAAGTGGGTCACAGGACTCTGCTGTGAGAGGTGCGCTCATCTCTGAAGATGGAGGTAGCCAGGAGGAGGCCGAGTGCACACGCCTTGCTGCGGTTCCCCACCGACCCCCCGACCCTCCTCGCTTACTCCCCACGACCTCCCTGTCTTCAACCAACCTAGAGGAGAAAGCGCTCGGGCCTCACTCCCCTTGTCCGGTCACGCCCACCCACAGCCTCCCCTTCTTCATTCAACCTAGTGGAGAAAGAGCGCTCGGGCCTCACTCTCTTCAGGGCTCTGCTGCCTTAGGAAGGCTTCCGTGTCTCACGAACTTACGAAGTCAATCTGTGTAATTTTCTCCTGTTAAGCGTTTTGTTTCATTTACAGGGTTCCAGCTGAGGAATCTAGAGGGTAGGGAAAAGCATGTATTTGTTTCCCTCCCCTGCTGCTTACTTGGTTGTGACCCTGGAACATTGGCAGGAGTACATTTGAAACGAAAGTTGAGAGAAAAATTCCAATTTTGCAGCACCGGCTCTGTCCAGCAGAAACGTACTGTGGGCTACGTATGTGATGTAAAAATGTCTGGGAGTTACATCAAGTTTTTTAAAGGTGAAAGTAATATTTTATTTGACCCAAGATATCCAAAATAGTATCACTTTAACGTTTATTAGTTGAATAGTCTTTTGGGTTTTCGGCATTTTTTGCTTTGTTTTGTGGAGACAGCATCTCGCTCTGTCACCCAGACTGGAGTGCAGTGATGCCATCAACACTCACTCAGCCTCGGCCTCCCGGGCTCAAGCGATCATACACTCGAAACGTCTGAGTCCTTACAGAGCAGCCACCGGTGTCGCCTGAGGCACGGAGAGGTAGCTCCTTCAGGGCCACACCAGCAGCTCCTTCTCAGGAAGTGCGAAGATGGAGGTAAAGCGAAGGAGAACAGGTGTGTAAAAGGCTGTGCCAGTGGCGACTCTCAGCCGTGCTTCCTGCCCGCTTGCCTGTCCTTTCAAGTGCAGAGCTGTGGCTCATCCAGAGATGGCATCTCCCATTCCCCCATGCCCAGGTGGGGCCACGTGAACCAGTTCTTCCAGATGGACATGGCTCGTGTGTCTTCTGGGTGCTCTCCAGGCACAGGGGGTGGCACAGCAGAAGGGCAGAGGGAGACAGTTCCTGAGCCCCAAGGCTGGCATGTTGCCTGCAAGCCAGGACACCTGAACTGCCATATGAGACCGAAGCTCCGACTTTCAGTCACGAAGTGTCCTGATATAGCCATTACATCTGCTTCATGGAACTGGGATTGAAGCACAAAGAAGGATGAAATGACCACGGCCTGGGGAGGGGGTGGATCTCGCACATTTAGATGTGTGATGGAGAAAATGCATTTTGGACGGTACCTGACCGTTCAGGTTTCAAACATGCTAGTCAACTGGAGACCGGATGTTCACTTTTTCTTCGATTCATGTGGAGCCACCTGGCAGAATGTTGTGTGTATTTAAGTCACCAGACTTCAGAAGGTGTCTTCGAGGACAGAGCTCTCTTCCAGTTCACTCCCTTCTGCAGAAAGATCCTGAGACAGCGCGGCGTTGAGTGCTGTGGAGACTGAACTGCCTTTGTCCCAGGGATGTTAGAAGAATGAGTATTGGCTTCAAGGATGAGAGGTCGTTTTTCAGTAAAGAACATTCTGTGAACACAGCAGGCGGTCCACAAGGGCTGGGGTTTGAATGAAGTGGGTGGCTGAGGATCTTCCAGGCACCTGTGTTTTGGGATTAGCCGTACTTGGAAGCCTGGTGGAAGCTGCTTTTCTATTTATGAGTCAAATTCTCTTTCACTCTGAATGTAATTATAATTGCCAAGCAGCTGTATCTTAATTTATGGTCTTCAATTGGTAATGTTTCCTAAGGCTTTAATTTCAATTTTCTTTGTTCCTTGGCCTTGCAAATATCTAATAATATCTAAATAAATTATTGAAAGTAGATGATTTCTCTATACTTTGTAAAAGGAAAAACTACTTGGAAACAATTACCTCTAACTGATACCTTGTAATTCAGGTTTTCTATAAATTGTGTGTGTGTGTGTGTTTTTTTAAGTGTGAGATACTTTCCACATATGCCTGAAAAGCAAGCTCTTTTCTTCCTCCAAAATTATACCTCAGGAAGAGGGTCACATTCCAGTCCACACCTTATGAAGTGTTTCAAGTTATGAGGTATGTTCTGAGATTAGTTTTGAACATAAAAATACTATGGAATGACTGATCAATTGAATGAAATGACCAATATGATCCAGCTGTTTATTCTCAAAGGGAGGCCCAGACCCGCAGCCTCAGCTCCTGGGAATCTGTGAGAAAAGCCCAGCTTCAGACCTCGCCCCAGGCCTGCTGAAGCCACAGGCCGGGGGACGCCTGCAATCTGTGTTTTACAAGCCCTCCAGGTGATTCTGAGACCCATGCAGATTTAAGAATGACAGTCATCGAAGTTACCCATGACATTTTTTAAATATGCAAAGTTACTTAACACAGCATTAGTTATCATTCCTGGGGTATCACCTCCCAGCTCCAAGCAGTGGGTATCACTGTGAGCAAGCTTTCAGAAGCCACTTGAGAGAGGAACAGAATGAGCATGCAAGCCACATATAAATACCTGTGTATATTTATATGCATTCGCGTTATAGTATCACCTGTGCGTGCATATGATCGATTACACGTGAGTGTCTCTCTCTCTACAAGACACCTGGAAGAGTCCCAACTGTCCTGATGTTATATGAGTGAGTCACTGGTGGCTCAAGATAAACTTCCAAGGACAGCACCATTAGGACTTTTCAAAGTACATTTTCGTTCAAACACTTGAGATGGAAATAGAGCTCATACGCTCCGAACAACTGTTGGGTGACTCGTAAGTGGCCCTGTTGATGACAGAGACCCTGAGGTCCAATTCTGATGTCACCTCCAGGCCGCCTCCTGCCTTAGTCCCTGTGGTATACAAGTTCTATCTCCTTCATTAGAATGTCAGTTCTTGGGGCCAGGAGTGTGTTCGTAACGCTGATAATACCTTCCAGCGTTTTGCTTGTTTCTGTTTTTGAGATGGAGTCTCGCTCTGTCGCCCAGGCTGGAGTGCAATGGTGCCATCTCAGCTCACTGCAACCTCTACCTCCCAGGTTCAAGCGATTCTCCTGCCTCTGCCTCCTGAGTAGCTAGGATTACAGGTGTGTGCCACCATGCCTGGCTAATTTTTGTATTTTTAGTAGAGACGAGGTTTTACCATGTTGGTCAGGCTGGTTTCGAACTCCTGACCACATGATCCTCCCACCTCTGCCTCCTAAAGTGCTGGGATTACAGGTGTGAGCCACCGGCCCCGCACCATCCAGTGTTTCTGAAGGGTTTTGCATCTGTCATTATGTCCCACTTTGAAACCCTCTCAAGAGCTCAGTACATGCACTGACCACACTAGGCACTTACTGAAAAAAACAGACTTGCCAATTTTGCACATATACCAAATAAATCTCAGCAAGGGCGGCCCTTCACACTTACTGCTCCAGTCTTAACGGTAACTGGTAATATAGCAAGAAAGAAAACAACTCCTTAGGATATGTGAATGCAGTAAGAATCACAAACGAATTCCAAACTCCTGTGTTCGATCCTGCAGGTGCAAATCTGCCTTTGCTCACATTCCACAAGTTTTGATAGGTACTTTCGCTATTAATTCTAAGGTTTTTTTCTAATTTCCATTTAATTTTGTCTTTGGTTAATGGGTTATTTAGAATTGTGTATTAATTTCCAAACGTGAGAAACATTTCTAGTTTTTAAAAAATTGTATTTGTAGCCTCAGCTGCAGTGTGGTCAGGAAACATACTCAACACGATTTAATTTTCCGAAAGTACGTGGGCATAAAGATGCTAACACGAGATACTGGGACGACTGGTGGGGGACACTAGGGCTGAAAACCAACTTTTGGGTACTGTGCTCATGACCTAGGTGACAGGATCATCTGTACCCCAATGTCAGTGTCCTGCAATACACCTAGTAGCAAACTTGCATAGGAACCCCCTGAATCTAAAAGCTGTCATTATAAAACATAAATGTCTTAACCTGTGATAAAATTTGCATCATGGATGAGTATATGGTCGATTTTTTATCATGGTATATTAGTACTTTGAAAGAATGTGTGTGCTATGGTTGCTGGGTGTGGTGGTCTACACCCTTATCTCTAAAAATGCCTTTGCTTTAAAATCTCTTGTAAGGTTATCAATACATCGGCTTTCTTCTGTAAGGAGTTTACCTTGTGTGTATATTATAGCATGTGTAATCCATTATACACACACTATTCTTATGTACTCGGGCGTCTCTTCTGAGTAACACGTACCTAATCTGACTGCAGGAGCACTCACTCCGCTTCGTTCTGTTACTGTGCACGCATCCTGCTCTGTGACTTCCGTCTGCCCTGCCATTGGCTTCATTTCTGCTCTACTTTTCAATTAAAAATTTCTATTCGTCCTCTTTACCACTTTGAGGGTGAACACTGTTTCTCTTCTTTTAGCTGTCGCCCTAGAAATGCACACTTACATTGCTAAGGTCTAAACTGGAGTTTGTATCCCTTGAGCCAACACAAGGATCTTAGCGTACTTCTGAATTTTCTTCTCTTGCTTTGTTATTTCTGTCATCAGCGCTCTCTCTTTTAACGTGAGAGACATCAT